TTTATCAACCATTGGACATTTCATATGACAGAGGTACTGCTCGACTATGTATACCACGTGTTGTTTCAACGAATATACGTGATGATTATCCCGTTCCTAACTCAGCATTAGTAGCCATTGGATAGGATAACTTGACATCTGGAGACACATCGTTACCAAATGATTTGCACCTTCAACAAGTGACAGTGAATGTAATGTCTGCAGACCATACAATGTGTAAAGATATGATCAATGTTTCATAGCTTCGATTTTGTGCTGCTATGATAGGTGGTGGAAAAAGTAAACAAATCATCATGAGCCTTTATTTATAGACTATCTTACAATTGAATGCTGTTTTTTTTTCTGATCTATATAATTTTATTAGATACATGTCAAAGTGATTCAGGTGGTCTTTTAATGCACGTTGAGCCCGATAAACGTCAGTGGATACTAGCTGGTGTCACTAGTTATGGAGTAGGCTGTGCTCATCCTGACTATGTTGGTGTTTATACACGTACTTCTGTCTATCATGATTAGCTTCGATCAATAGTCAATGATAATTTTATTGAATTAACAATAGGTAAAAATGTTACTAAACGACCGACTAATGATAATTGCACTAGTTCACCAGTCAATGGTGCTAGTTCTCTATTGATAAATTTACTTCAAAGTATAATATGACTCTATTGGTCACTTTCATCATTGCTATACGTATTTAATCGACTGTAGTTGTGTTTTCAATTCGAAGGTCTCAGAATAAAAGCTACAACTATTTATATGATATGTTTATTTTTGCTTATTCGCTTCCTAATTAAGTGCCCAAACATAGAAATATATCATGGTAACACAGGACAAAATAATAAAGTCTATTTAAAAGAAATTAAGTTATGTTGATATATTTAGAGATTTCATTAAATTCATTTGTTGAAAGAGTTTGAATGAACAATATAATTGGCTCTGTTTCATGAATATTGTTTTAACTTTATTTTTGACCGATTTACCTGAGAGGAAAGATCATTTCATTTTCGAAAAATGTCAAGTTTTCTCATACTTATGACGGTTAATCGATGTTTCTATAGTTTAGTACGATTTAGTGTTATATGAGCTGATTACATGATTTCATCTGAAGATTATATTTTGTTATTAATATAGTAATCATGAGAACCACGAATATATATTGATACTGTAGAAATGTGTTTTTCTGATAGCTATCACTGGAACTAATGGCTACTAAGTCAGAAGGCTTCCCTATGATTTTGATCGACCATCATTTATGTACATTCTCTATTAGAATTGTACAGAAGGTAAGTTACGTATTATACGGCTTAGTCTGAAATATTAGAAGATTATAAGATTACTATTAGCTATCAATAGCAGTTTTTGAAAATAAACTCTATTCTCTATTCTCCGATCGAGTTGCTGCCTTTTGCAAAGTATGTTATTAGGGAGTTTGTACGACCATCAATAGGGAACAAAAAAAATGATACATTTGTCTTATTTTTACGATACGAATGAATGTTTCTGGATTTTTTCTCTAGTATTGTTTTATTTCAGGTCGATTTCATTGGGGTTCTTGTTATAAACATCTACTACTTGACAAAGAAATCGGCGCTGAAAAACTATTTATGAACTTATTTGATTGCCATGAGAATAATGGCTGTTTCGGTTTTCTCAATGACTTTTCATAGAAATTAGATAACGAGCTTGCAATTTTTATTGTTTGTAGAAGAAATGTTGGGAGTATAAAATTATGTTGGATTCGATCGATTTAAAATCAAACCAATCAGATGAATTGTTGCTGAAGGTTTCAAGAACAGTTTTCTAGAAAACATTTATATATTGTTTAATCGTACTTGCTTCTTATTTCTAAAGAGAAGAAATCACAGTCTACAGATCTGCACCACAAGAAGATTTATAACTTGCATTGCTGAGTAGTTGCGATAGTTTTTCAGAGAATTAAAGTTTCAAGTAACTGTTCTTGAATCATCTCACAAAATGTGAGGATATCGTTAGTGAACCAGGTTGCCTCGAAGGATAACAATCTGTTTTAGTTCCAATCTAGTGTGAAATCATTAGACCAAAGCTTTTAAATGTATGTTTTGCAAATTGAACAGAGGCATCAGTTCGATTTTTGATAGTTTCCTTCGGTTGACTAAAGATTAAATTGAAACTGAAAGAACAACATTATTTCATGATTAGACGTGTCTCATTAAGTCTATCTTGACCTGTTTTGAGATGATTCAAGACCCTTTACTCGAAACTCTAGGTCTTCGAGACAAATTTATGACTCCTAACTGATATGGTTTAAAAGTGTCAACGTTTCATAGATGTATGGAGCGTGAGCTCTTCTTTAGAAATAAGAACAAAGTACTGCTGAGGACAATTTAAACGTACCTATTCAACCGTTCTTGAAAATTTCAACGAAACCTTGTGTGGTTGATTTCAGTTCAAATTGATCAGGTTCAACGAAGTTTCATGTCTCAAACACTTCTACGAATGATGAAAATCAGCAGTTCTTTATCTGTTCTCGATAAAAACTTATTCAGAAAACAGCAACAATCCATTACTTTTGAAAACATGAACAGTTTCTATTTCATTTTTTGATGATAGTATAGATGAATACCTAGAAGCCGATATCGATTGATACAAAACGGATCAAAAAAGAACCCATATATAACTTCGATAAACAGCAAGTTTTTTTGCGGTTTGCATCGCATAGGTCATCACTGATCATAGCGCCACAGCTTTTCAGATTTTCTGGGTAAGAAATAGATCTATCTCAAAAGACAAATTTTATAACTATCATTAGATAGATTAAAACACGTTTCTTTCTTGTGACTACTAAGAAACGCACGTTTTACCAGCAACATATATATAAACTCTTGAACCAATCAATAAATCCAGAATACCTATGCATGCTATAATCAAATAAATGAAAAATGCAACATAGTTAATAAACGCTTCTTATCAGTATCGACACATTCTTGTCATTTTTTTAAAGAATCATTTGGATGAAAATTCTAGAGAGCAGCATAAGAGAAATATTTACAGTCTGAAGCATGTGTTTCTAGAAGTTGTTCCTAACAGAAAGCTTCTTATACGATAGTAAACTAAGTTGAGACCTGTTCTATACCTATAAATTATTTTATAAAAAAGCATGGTGTAAATTGTCGAAAATAGTGTTCAGGTTTCTACAAACGAATCAGAGTAGAAGTCCTATTTATACGTCATTTCTCTCAATACCTTTTCGATCTTACAACTTTGTTTTCCAAAGTATTGACTACAAACTGTGCTTACTCATCACTCGTTGATTTGCGCATGAATTTCTTCAAAATTTGAGATTCGATTGAAAGAAAATGTTGAACATGTAATAAACAAACGAAAAACGAGACTTACGAGGCAATTTTTGTTCAGCTGTGTTTGTCTAATTTCAATGATGTTTTGTTTACAGATATTACAGTGTTCTCTAATTGTAATCCTGGAAGGGCTTGTGTTTTCATTGAAATTTGATTAAGTGATCAGAATTCTAATCTTTCCCTTTTCTAGAAACTCAAATTTTCGAATTTAGATCTGCAACTTTGTGCATATAGAGAAACCAATTGAGCTAATACTCATTAAAAAAAATTCAAAAGTTTTAAACAAACTCTACTTAAGATATCAAGTTGCTAAAAAAATTCCCATTGTCTGCACTGTTCATGTAAAAGAGTCTACATCGAAGAAAGTTTATTCAGAACTTCTAAATCTTTATTGTAAGCTAGTCTGGTGGATTTTACCGTAAATGCGCAACAGTGCAAATCAAAACCTGCAAATACGTGTTTTTCGAAAATCAAAGATTTGTAGACATTAGACAAAGAAAAAATTTCATAGCTTAGTTTAATACTAATCAGAATCCAAATCATATGGGGATTTTTATTACAGCGCAATGTAAAATCTATACGTAAAAGATCATTGAAATCGGAAGAAAACATCTGAAGATGTTCTGTCGTTAGTTCATTAATTTGTAATATATGAATTATAAATTGCAATCATTCATAGTCGATGATGTTACTCATAATATTTAAACTTTTTAATGTCTATATTTAATAACAATATTCTAACATTTACGTTGCCACTAAATGATTAATATTAATAAGTGATATTAGAAAATCGTATTGATTGATTTTAAGTAGAAAAAGGAAGGCTCAGTAGGAAAAAAATAAAAACTCATTTGAAACTTTCTCGAAGAATTTTTATGTTTCAAAGTACCTATCAAGCTTTGATCACTTTAAGCTGTTGATATAGATAGCAAAAAACACCCAAAATGAAGAGTCTAAAACTTCTCAGTTAAGAGAGATATAACCTGAAACAAGATGCTTTTGTCTTTTTTTAGATAAAACTGACTATTTCGAATGAACAAAGGTAAATTTCACATGTCATATGAGACAATTTTTTTTATTTTTTCTAAACTTGTAATAATAATTGGTTTTTGAACAATGAATTCATTTAATCCGAATGTTTTTTCTTTACATTCTTACTGATGATCATGCTAAATTGTGAAGAAGAATGAAAATCTTAATATGAATAATCCTAAACGTAACGTGAAACAAATCGATAACTAAGAAAAAATTGAAAAATCAAATCAGTATTTGAAAATGTAGAAGTTGCTAATAGCTGATGATTCATCTTTGTAACACGATATTTACTCAACGATAGCATACTTATGTTTTTTTCCATATCAAATTTAGCTTGCCATTTTGAAAAATATTCATTCCTCTTATTTTAACAAGAAAAGGTAAATATATACCGAGAGTTGTCGTCATATTTTCAAATACGACAAGCAACGATTTCATATTGACAGTTATTTGAGACAGCATAAGAAAGCATATTACTAATTGATGAAAGAAAAAAAAGAAAATAATTCTAAATATTGAATCATTCTCATGAAGTTGTCACGGGTAAAAGACAAATAAAAACAAATGAAAAATATAAAAGACTAAAATATATTCATCATTCAGCTACTGAATTTCATCTCAATCGATTCAATGGTCTGCAGCTATCTTTTCTTCTTTTCTCTCTTTTTATATAATATTAATTTCGTTTCACCCGTTGTCTATTCTTGCAATCGCAATGCTGAATGTGGATGTTCAAAAACTGATGCCATAGTAGACAAGATTGTTGGTGGTGAATCAGCTGTTAACTCAAGTTGGGGATGGGCCGTATCTTTACAGAGGGGTGGCAACCATTTTTGTGGTGGTTCAATTATTTCACCATTACATATCATTACAGCTGCTCACTGTGTTCCGAATCCTGCGACGGTAATCGGAATTGTAAATGTAGTTGCTGGGATAGATGTGTTGTCTCAATCATCATCGTCAAAAGCTCAAGTACGTTCTATTGTTAGTGTTTTTTCGCATCCGAACTATAATGATATATCGAAAGTGAATGATATTGCTGTTTTACAACTTAATCAATTACTGAATATTTCGTATGAAAGAAGTACTGCTCGACTATGTATACCACGTATTATTTCAACGAATACAAACAATGATTATCCCGTTCCTGATTCAACCATGGTAGCAATTGGATGGGGTAAATTGGCATCTGGAGTCACATCAATACCAAGTAATTTGCATCTTCAACAAGTGACTTTGAATGCAATGTCTGCAAACCATGAAATGTGTATACCTACAATCAATAATCAACAAGTTCAATTTTGTGCTGCTGTGATAGGTGGTGGAAAAGGTAAACAAATCATCATGAGCTTTTACTTATAGATTATCTTACAATTAAATGCTGTTTTTTTTTGTAATCTATATAATTTTATTAGATACATGTCAAGGTGATTCAGGTGGTCCTTTAATGCACTTTGAGTCGGATAAACGTCAATGGGTATTAGCTGGAATAACAAGTTATGGAGTAGGCTGTGGTCTTCCTAATTATGCTGGTGTTTATACACGTACTTCTGTCTATTATGATTGGCTTCGATCAATAGTCAATGATAATTTTGTTGAATTAACAATAGATGAAAATGTTACTAAACCACCGATCAATCATAATAGCACTAGTTCACCAGGCAATGGTGCTAGTTCTGTGTTGATAGATTCATTTCGAAGCATACTATCACTATATTGGTCATTTGCATTAATGTTATACGTATTTACTTAAATGAAATTGCTTATCTAATAGAAATTTTTCATGATAAACAGAAACTATTTATATAATATTTTCACTTTGCTTTATTTCCTTTCTAATTAAGTTTTTAAGCATATAAATATATCATGATATACAAGAAAACATAATAATAAAGTCTACTTAAAACAAAATCAAGTCTTTTTGTAATATATATTGAAAGAGTTTATCATTGCATTTGTTGAAAGAATTTAAATGAATTGTATTGTTAGCTCTGTATGATCAATATTGCTTCAACTTTTATTTTGATCGATTTAACAAAAAGTCAAGATCATTTCATTGTTCAAGAATATCAAGTTTCTTCATGTTTATGAGTTAGTTTTTCTACGTCATCTATCAAGATGTTTTCACTAATATGATATACATATCCATTCAATGAATATTATACAGATTTACTGTCAACTATAACAAATATCCGAAGGTTATTTTTGAAGTTAGCCTATCTTTTTATCGTGCATATATAGCTAGACGATAATTAGAATATCCACATTGGTGCATTTTCAGCAGAGTGCTTCGAAGGAGACACTATTTCCTATCTTAATACTCTGTACTATGTCAGGCATTTAGAAGCATGGAGGTCAGTGATTGGGTCTGATTATTGATGTTCTTGTTCTAAGTTCTCATAATTGTTCGAGCATATTTGATCGGAATCTACTCATTTTGTCCAACCTCAGTATATTCTTTCCAAATAAGGCCAATATTAAAACAGATTTATAGATGAAGAGAGTATCAGGTGGTTGTTTCACAGCTATTTATTATTATTATATTGAACGAGGCATTTTTCATGGTGAGTATATCGCTGCCGGATAAGCGCTCTATAATTTTTGAACTATTATTCACATCGTGTTTCATCAGAAAAGTTTTCTAATACCAATGTTTATGCGAACAGTGTATAATAAGTATTAATATCCAAGGGGTGTTTTGGTAGCGCTTGGATTATATTGACTCAAAATAATTTGACTTACTCTGTTTGAAGATATGCCTATTACATAGACACAGTACTCAAAAAGAAAATATGAATCTATTACTAGAACTGTTCAAATGAATAGAAATGTTCAAATAGAAAGTCTTTTAAATAATAATAATATACATCTGATACAAATATGTTGATTTTTCGTAGCCATCGCTCTTCAATCATTAGTTAATAATAATAATTAAAGAAGGGAAAAGACACGTAACAATAACAATAGAATGATTTTAGCGAAAAATGCCCTATTCTATACAGCTCTTTAAAATATTGATTGTCATTTTTTTACGGTCTCATTCGTTTTCTTATTGTCTGGATAATACACGTCTTGCTCGAAATGCTAGCATCATGACATAGTATTAGATGTGTCAAATGACGTTTCTTTCTCATGATTACTAGCAGATGCACTTTCTACCAGTATCATCTACGTAAACTCTTGTATCAATAAATAAATCCAGAATATTTATACGTCATATAGTCAAAGACTCAAAAAGTAACATAATTAATAAACGCATTTTATCAGCATCAACATATTTTTGCCTGACTGCAAAGGATCACTTCGGAGAAAGCTCTAGAGAGCAATAGAAGCACACTGTTTTCAAGTTAAAACACTTAATTTCAAAAACTTGTCTCAAATAGGAAGTATCTCATACTATTCTAAGCTAAACTTAAAACTCTTCGATATGTAAATTTTTTTTTGTATACTCCAGTAGTTCGAAATCATGAATCAAATACATCAACGAAGACGAATCTGCTAATACATTGTTAGATATCTAGAGTTTGACAGCATCCCATTTAAAATTTTTTCATGTAACCTAGCTCACGTAAGTTTATTCCGAATTGACTTAACTCATTATTATATATATTTGAACTAAACAATTTCGTAAATTTAACATGAAATCAATTTATGAATATAGAATAGTATATCTTGTCAATAATAACATTTAGATATCCAGAAATGATTCATAGAAGGACAATTATTTAGACATAAATTTTTTAACTGGATTCTCAATCTTGCAATTTCGTTTTCTAAAGTATTAACTAGAAGTTATACGTACTGATTACTTATTAATTTGCGTATAAAATTCATCTATATTTGAGCCTCTACTACAAAATAATGTTGCACATGAATTAAAGAAAAGGAAAGCCAGTTTTAATTCGTTATTCTGTCATGTATCGACTATATATTACAATCTGTCATAGTCAATAATGTTACCCAAAATATTTCACCTTGCTAGCGTCTATGTTTAATAACCATGATAATTGCATGACAGTTGGATATAGAAGATGTCTCACTTTGTTATTATGGAATACATTTGCTATACATTATGATCCTGTTTTAATTAGATTTGAATCATGCAAGTGTTAATATCTTATTATCATAGGACATAATTGATAGATGCTTCTAAAAATTATTTCATCATGTTACGTGGTCATGTATTAGTTAAATCTCGAGTGCCATAATTAACTACTTCGTTCTCAATAAGATCTAACTTCGTAAGTAGAGAAATATATTCAACATATTATTATGTAGTGTATTAGTTAGATACTCTACTCCTGAATAGCTGATTATTCTCTATGTAAATTATCTTTTAATGCTAATTCTAAATGCAATACTTGTTCATGAATGTTGTTGTAGTTATGAAAATCCAAAGTAATCAGTGTCTATTTGAATAATAATGTTGTATGTTTTTATGATATATGGTCAAAAGACCTATTATTCGGTTTTCAATGTTTGTGTGAAAAGAAAATGGTCGAGATTTCAGTAGTCGAACGAAAAATAAACCTCATTAAACTTGTTATTTAGTATGAAACTAAAAAATTATTTTTTAAATTAAATTATATATTGTTTCTAGACGAAGAATGGCAATTGTCTATATTTTGAGTTCCAGATATTAGTTTTCAATGCATGAGTAAAAGAAGTATGTCATCCAAATTATTGTATGAAAATCTAAGTCTTATATTAACAAACGATATATTGTTTGTGGTAGTATGTTTGAAGAGAAAAAGCATTTGATCAGTAAGATTAGGATCATATATGTTGACTAATCAACTCTATACTGCTTCATAGCAAGATGTACAGCAATGACTAGTTGTTGAAAATATATTATCTTTTCGAGTATGAGCAAATGTGTATAATATTTCATTGCATTTCGATCAGGTGTAAATCTGCAAGTCAATATAAGTCATATTTTTATTTCAACGATCTCAACACTTACATTTCTACTGAATAACTAATGTTAGTAACCGATATTAGGAAATCGCCTTAAGTGATTTTATGCAGAAACAGGAATAATGAATAAAAAAAGATAAGAAATCATTTGCGGGGCAATTCAAATATTGTTTGTGACTGAAAATATCCATCACCATTTTACGAATTTAGGCTTTCGATATATGTTGAAACTTAAATGAACGATTGAAGAACTTTTCAATTCGATATTATCTTATTTTTGTCTTTATCGTGTGAATTGGATTAATAGTAAACCATTATTACTCAGTTATTTGATATAAAAGAATTTAAAAGTATTGTGATTTCTACTCAGCATAAACGCCTTTCAAGAGTTGATTTGTTTATGTTTATGAACTACATTAAAGATCGAAATGATACAGTCAAATATGTAGCAAGTAACCAAATCGAAATAAGAAATGACTATGTTGCTTTGATACAGTAGGTTCAAAAATAAAAACTAAAAGTATTATAGGTTTTTCAGAGATATTTATAAACCAAACATGATAGGTTTTCAAAATGACGAAAGAAGAAAAGGTTGATTGTGTAATTTATTTTTATTACTGCAAACTAAAAATATCAATAACTCAAAGAGTCTACTACAAGAGTAATAAAATTTAATAGACAAGCAAATGATTTGAAATATTAAAGGATTTCAACAACAAAAATTTCTTGAATATTTTAAATCAAAATAAAAAAAAAAGTATAGTCTTTAGACATTGAATCACACACTTTCTTGCATAGATCAGTGGTCCATGCTTGAAAATCTGAAACATAATAATTGTTGACTTTTAAACTAATGAGGTGTGATAGGTTTCTCTATGCGCATCAATATAGTATTATTTATAAAGTTTGTTCTGATGTTTTTGCTCTTTTTTTAAGTGACAACAGAAAATAATCAATAGAACGCTCCACATATGGTTTTCTTTCTTGACAATAACTAATATTTTTTCTTGTGACATAAATAGTAATAGTTAATAGTAATGTTTGTTTCAATTATTCGTACGAAGAAAGGAACTTTGAATAAACTTTTACCATCAATCAACGAATCAGTTTAATTGGTTGTATTGACGCAGAGATATTTCAAATTGTATATCGTAATGTTACTTATGGCTCGATCTGTAGTGATCAATTATAAGAAAAAAAACATTTTCTTATTTTTAGAAACAGTCGAATGTTTACACTAATTTAAAATGAAGTGCTAGTCATAAATTAGACTATGAGTACACTGGTTTTATATTTCGATTAATTACTTGACATTTGATTTTGTTTCTATCGAAAGTATATCAACAAGTTTAAGATATATTGTCTTCTATATGAAAATAGGTAGACGAAGCAGTAAGATATAAAAAATTAATCGGTGAGGCAAAAATTGCGTAGTAATTTTTATTTTGATGCAACCTTGCAATGTAATGTTGTAGAGTCTTAATTGTTTATTTTTGTGAGAAGAAACAAAATAATTAGTGCAAAAATCTATAGAAGAATTTTGATTAGCTATTTTTTTCAAATGTTACAAAAATATTAAAATGGAACTCATAAAAGCAATTTCTCTCACAACTTTTGTATGCAAATGTATTTATTTGATCATTTCGATTAGCGACTTCTGACGTTTTCTAATATCATGTAAATATATATATGTTCCTTACAATGAAGGCTTTTATGAAATAATAAAATAATTGCTCTAGCAAAAGTGAGACTGAACAACGAATAGCTTCATTGGCAATTCAATTTGAAGATGTATAGAAAGTTTTCTCGAAATATTTCACAGAGAAGCTGTATCCT